GATTTTCCCAGTAGCTGATGAAACAACACTACTTTGATTTTGGTTATGGAAACAAAACCTTTAAAAGACCTGCTGGTGTATCAATTTTAGTTTTCTTAGTGGAAGAATAAATTGTGTGCCCCATTTCTCAGTGGTTTGACCACTCCACCTGGCAGCTCAAATGGTGCAGGTGTCAAAGCCTTCCCTGCTTAATGGCCTAAACAGAAATAATAAAATAAAGAAATAAAAGGGGTGGGGGGGGGGGGGGGGGTGTGGAAATTCCTGGTACATGGCAAGCTACAAGGAGAAAGGGACTGGCAAAACCTTTACTGAAAGATGGGAGAATTACCAATTCCACAATTGTTTGTTCTCCAGTCAGGCACCTGCTACTCCACATTCACTCACTCCCAGCCATCCTCTGACTGTAAAGGCAATTTCTACAGATGGCAGAGGATGAAAAAGATATACTAAACACTACACTAAAGAAGAAACGTCATTGCAATTGCTTATCCACTCTTCCGGTAACAAATTGAATTTGGGGAAGTATGAGACACAGGGCAACCTGGGGTTGACCAAAAGTGAGTAACAAAAATGTAGTAACCTTGTAGAAAAAGGTTTGTCTCCTTTCCAAGTGGGACACAAGATCCCAAGGACTATCTCAAACATTATTACAGAATCACCTGACTTTAAAAGTCCAACCTTTTTTATATCCTTTCCCTACCCTGTACTTCATTCAAAATAATCCAGAGTTCTCAGCATCTCATCACAAGTACCTGCTTCTCATCTTTGCACTGCAGGAAGCATCACAAGCTAAAAAACTTACTTTAGAAACAGGCTTCTAAAGAATTCCTAAGTGCAAGAACTGCATTTAAAGAAAAAGCAGAAATGAGAGGAATGTACTTGGCAGGGACACTGACCTAGCAGGAACTTCAGCTTGAACCCCAAGTTGAAGCACAAAACTATTCTCTTTTGAGGGTACAATCAAACCCTTGCACAGAAAGTCACAACTATTTGATGCTCCAGAAAGTGAAAACTTCACAGGTTTCGTGGGAGCAGACTTAAAACTTTCAAGGACCTCAAAATGACACCGTTCTTAGAGGAAATCCAGGACAGGCTCAGCTCCCACATGGGTAAGAACGGGAATGAAGGTGGAAAAGGTGTCCTGTCGTGGTGTGGAGAAAGGAAAGTGAATGGAGACATGGCCAGTTCCATCTGTTGAAGTTTTTAGCTCTTCTAACCAGAGCTTATTGCTGAGTTTACCCCACAGCCAACCCAAAGTCCCCCCCCAAAACTGGGGGACCAGGTTGCTCAGGGCAACAGCCTCTGAATTCCCAGTCTAGAATAATCCAGTAAAACCAGAGCACCAGACTGGTAAGGGGAAGCAGGGCTCCCTGGAAGTGTCCCGGGCCGGGCTGGATGGGGCTTGGAGCAACTTGGGATAGCGGGAAGTGTCCCTGCCCGTGGATGGAGTGGGCTTTACAGCCCCTTCCCACCCAAACCATTCCATGACTCCGAGATACACCATGTCCAGATGTTCTTCCACAGCCACCAAGTACCCACCATGGCCCAGCCCTGCTCGAGGAGGGCTGCAGCTTACCCCCGCAGTCCTTGTGTTTATTTGAAATTATGCTCTTGCCCCCAGATAACTTCCCCAGACAGCCTCATTGCTGCCAGAAAGTAGGTCAGTGTCATTTAAAGCCGCCTTGAAATGCATCTCCACAGAAACTTCTTAATCTTTAAAAAGAGAACGCATCAAATATTTATCGGGCGGTGCAAAACACTGGGAGATGCTCATGGGGAGAGCTCTTCTGTGTGTGCTGCATGAAATGGCTTTCCATGCCTCACTGAGCTGTGGAGCAGGGCAGGAGAGTGGCTGGCTGCAGATAAAGCCCCGTACAGAAGTCTTTATCTGCCCGGCAAATCACAGTACGTGACTCCCCAACTCGTTCTCCCGGTGCCATGTGATCCTGGAGCTCTCTGCTTCCTCCAGGAGCTCCTCTCAGCCCTAATGATCCCTGCTGCAGATTTTCCCCTATCAGCCAGGCAGCTCATTCTCCAAACTTCAATATTCCTAATTATCAAACATTCAGCACTGCAAAATGTAGCTGAAATTTGCATCTCTGCAAGAGTGGCTCTGAAGAAAGGATGGAACATTTGCATTCAGACTGGTTAATTCCTGCAGGATAACATTTCATAAACAAAATGCTTCATTGAACATGGAGATTTTCAGCTTTTACAAAGGAAAGTGAACTTTAAACAAATACAAATCAGTTGAGTGATTAACTTTAAGTGTTTTGGTTTTTTAAAACTAATCTTTATGTATAACTAGTATCAGCAGAACAATCTTTACTGATTAAAGAAGCGAATGATAGTGAAACTCAAGCCACTGAAAATTAAGTGGGGAGGTAGAAGGCAACTGCAAGGAATCATTTAAGGTAAATAAGAGAGGGGGGAAAAACCCTAAAACATGAAAAAAACCTGTAAAAACACCCCACACCTACTCACAACCCAGTCACCCTGGGTAAGGTGAGCACAACGGGTTATGTAAGGCAAGCTTAAATTGTGGCCAACGTGAACAGGTTAAGGAGTGAAACTAAACATGCTTTCCCCTGCACCCCCCCCAAGCTTTGTCATAATCCTAAATGTTATCTTAATTAGCCTAATTGTCTTAATTATACTTCGCAGCAACTTGAGCCTTCACAGCACAATTCCAGCGTCTTTTTTTCCAGCTTTGTTCCAGCGCTGGAAGAGGCAGCGACTCCTCTGCCAAAAGCCAAAGGCCACGTGATGCCTCCCAGGAAGTTTCCTCCCACCTGGGTATTCTTCTTCTCCAAAAGCTATTTCTTATTCCCTACAGAATCTGAGTCCAAAACACAACAAGAGAAGAGACAGTGATGGGGGAAGAAGTCATACTTTTCTTAGCTAACTTAAATCTTCTCCATATTTTTCCACCTTGTTCAGCGAGAGGGCTTCAGTGCCCAACACTTCTCACAAAAGCTTTGCAGAGTGAAATGAAAAAGCAAAAAAAGCACAGAAAAAAACCCAACCCAAAGCACTTCCATTCATCTATGCCGCAACAATTTCATGGCACGGCTCCTAAAACATCCCATTAGTGCTGGCCTTGGAGAAGATTAGAGAAGAAAGCTTGAACCTACTGAAGCAAGGCTTAATAGGCTCTTGAGTTAAGCCAGAGCCTTCCCTTAAACAATGCCCATCATTAGAATAATTACCTGTAGCTGTATAATCAACATGGCTATGATAACTGACATGAGAAGACCAGATGTCATCTTTGGCAAGGCTTGAGAAATATTTCTGCTCCTTATTATCCAACTGATTCTTGCAAGAGAAACAAGCAGCAAGAACACCGGGGATGAAAAGCCACCATGAAACACTTCAGAATTCCAACCCAGCCCTTGGAAGTACAACCAGAGTAAGAACCCAGCATCCAGGAAGGGCACAAGGTGGGTATCCAACAGCATCCTGCCCAGCTGCCACACCCTGAGTTTTGATCAGACTACCCTTCTCAGCACCATTCTAGACAGGGCTGCTAGAAAAACAAAGCTCAAGCTGGTTTTTGGATTGACAGGAATGCTGAACCAAAGCAGCAGAAAGAGGCAGGAGAAACAAGTATTCAGTGATGAATTATGAAAGGAAGCAAGGCAAACCTGCATCAGGCTTCCACTGCATAATAGCCCAACCAGGAAGGACATCACCACTTCCCAAACCTCTGGAGAGCAGCTCCTTAAGAAGCCAAGACATACCCATGGTTGGGTTTGGACTGCAGGTGGGTGTTTAAGGTGTCCCACCACCACAACGAGAGAAAAGCAGATGGCCACAGCTGCCCAGCCTCACTCCTGAGTCATGGAAACACTGAAACAACAATTATCTGTTACGTGAAGAACAGAGCTCCTGAAAAACATCATTCTGCATTTGTGTCTCCAGTGAACACCTGCATTCATACAAACACACATTTCTCAACTCCTCGTAGTACCAACAAATTTCAAAATCTAAGACTGCTACATTATGGAAGCAGGGGCCAGGTTTGTTTTTTTCTTTTTGATAATTCTGATGATTTTAGAGACTCATAAACTCTTTTCAGTTGTGAGGAGAAGGTCAGATCTCCCCCTGGTGCCTGGAGACTCCAGCTCCCCTATTTATTGCAGGATTTCTTCCCCCACAAACAAGCGGTTCCTTAAATCTTAGGAGCTGTTCTCTGGCTTTTAGCACTTCAGCCTTATTTGTTAACCCCAGCCTGATTAAACTGAAGTCACAGAGTAATCTCTCAGAGGCAGAGTGAATAAGTCCTTCCACGTGCCTTGTTGTTGTTGGATTATTTGCTTCCCAGCAGCCAGTTCTGTACCATAAACTGAAACAGCCCAAGCACAATTAAAATTCCTCTAACAAAGCTCTAACTAACACAAAAGTTGCCCCAGACTCCCTAAAAACAAATGTGTGAGGCAGCTTTAAGCTGGAGAGCAGGTAACTGAGCAGCTACAAATTCTCCTGACAGACAGAAATGCATAATTTGGTAGTGATGAATCATGCCTCAAATTACAAGACACATTAGGGATAATCCCCCAGACAGCATTGAGGTGGATCAATTGACTTTTGTTCCAGCAAAACTATTCCTTCCTGTTAAGAAGTCCAACAGGTTTCTTAAATATCAATAAAGGCACCAGCAGAACCATGCCTGTTCCTTGGAAATACACTCCATATCGTTAAGGCTCATCAGCACAGATTTAACAAATTAAATATCTGGTTAATTACTCAGAAAATACCAATTTTCACTGATGCAACGATTAGAAACCCAAATTTTAGAACAATCAGAAGACTGAAACAGTAAAACTTCCTTGTAACTCTTGGGTAACATCTACGGCACTTTCCACCTTCACACCAAGTTTCAGACGAAGCACGAAAGGCAGGGGGCCTGGATGACCATTTCAGCACAATTAAAAGGTGTGTTCATGCAGCAAACTGTGTTTTGGGGTCGCTGCTGGGACTCCAAGTGGCCTTACCCTTACCTGGATGGCTTTGGGAGCTCATTGCTGGCAATGTCTAGTCCTTGGGAGAAGGGATTGGAGACAGATCAGTTCCCACGCGAGTAACAGCAGCTCAAAAGAGCTCCAGTGCTTCACCAATACATAGGAGTGGGAAGTGGGGATTAAATCATGGCCACCTTGTAAAATCCAGGGCACAGTGACATGCTGAGTCGTATGGGAAGTAATCCAAGAGGGTGGCAGAGTGTCTTCCAATAGCTTTTAAAATGGGAACCTGCAATTAAAGAAAAAGATGTCTGCGTTAGCAAATGAAGATTAACAGCCATTTAAATTGTACATTATATAACCTATTTATCCCTGAGATTAAACTACAATGCTATTTTAGGCATTAAGGGCTGCAGAGAGAGTAATTTTCAGAGTTGTAAATGTTACTTTGATTAATAACCATAAAGATGCAAATTAATACTTAACATTATTTTTAAAAAAACAATTAAACAACTTTCCAACAACACATTCACGTCTCAGAAACCCAAAATTCCGTGTTAATTCTCATCCTCCAACAGCACCATATGAAGCCACTTCAGTCCAACAGCTTCCATATTTTAAAAGCCATATGTATGAGTGGTAACTGTACTTCACGCATCTGTTCCCCAAAGAAGTCTAAAGAAAAATTCCTCAGTGCCAAGAAGTGGTCTTGGAGCAGGAAGGAAAAAAACCCACACAATCAATTTCACTCCCACTCTACCCAATCCTCCAGCAGATTACCAAGAAGCAGCTCCATACTGCCCCAGGGGAAAAAAATCCACCATTCCCAATTATTTTGAAGCTGTGTTGTAGAGGGAGGGAGAGAGAACAGAGGGGAAATGACCCACAGAGCCAGCAACCTCTGCCCCAGCCCCCCAAAATATGGAATTACAGAAACCATACCCTGGCTTGGAGAAACCCCACCTGAGACCCACGGTGACCTAACCAGCCACCCTTATAGCAAGAGAACTTGCTCAAGCTCAGTTTTGGGGGGTCAGGGGGTTTTTGGCACTATACCAAGTGACAGCCAGTACTTCCCATCCTTGCAAGTGTCCAAGGCCAGGCTGCACTGGCCTTGGAGAAACCTGGGATAGTGGCAGGTGTCCCTACCCATGGCAGGGGGTGGAATGGGATGGGCTTTGAGATTCCTTTCCCCCCAAACCATTTTGGGATTCCTGAGCATCCCTGTTTTACAGGCAGGCTGTCTCAGGGACTGTGCTGTGCCACTGGCACGAGCTCCCAGCCAACACCACTGACCCAGACTGAAGCCAGCTGTGTCCTTCATGCAGAGTACCCCACTGCCACAGGTGATCTCCCTTCTTTGCACCATAAAACACCAGCAGCCCAGCCCTCCTGGGTATCCAGGGGAGCTCCTCCTGCCCAGCCAGGCATCACCCAGCGCTGGGGTGAGGTCACCCTGCTGGCAGCAGCCAGCTCCAGCCCATCCCCACGGATGCAGCTGACTCTGCTCACCCCAAACTGCTCTGGCAGCAGCTCCCAAGGAGTGGTGCCCTGCAGCACCACTGGGGCGAGGGATGGCTGCTGGCAGCTGCCATGGAAGCTGCCATGGGGATTGCTCCTGCCTTGCACAAGGACCCTTTGGCCACAGCGTGGCTGTGCCACAGCATTTCAGGCAGTGCTGGCTGTTCCTGGAAGAGCTCTTAGCACGCTCAGATTTGAGCGTTCCTTTCCAAGAAACAATACCAGGTCTGAGACTTCCAGCGTCGGCACAGTTGATCAGGATGGGCTTTCTAAAGTTACTTCCCTGATGCGCAGGAAAATGCCTGGGCAGGCACTGCTGAACACAGTCCCTTCCTTGCTGTGCTTCATTAAAAACCCCCTTTAATTGGCTGTTTCTCTGCAGCCCAAGTGTCTCAGCATCACCACTCTCCAAGTTCCTCTCTGCCCATCTTGCATTCTTAGAGACCTGGAACGCATTCCATGTTACACGTCAAATTCGAGAGAAAATCACTTAAATGTCATTTCTAATCCCTGCAGGTCTCTGCCATCCCGAATGTTCAAGATGTTCCAGTCCCATTAATCAGCACATCCTGTTAAACAGAGCTGGGTCAGCTTAGACCAGGCATTAGCAAAATACTAACATAATTTATTTTCGTTAAAACCAGCAGGTACTGTTGTAGCATAAGCCATCTCAGCTGCAGACACGAAGGATTTGGAGTGGAGTTACCAGATCTCCCTGTCCTCATTTTCCCATCACAAGAATGAGAATGAACAGTGAAAGTTTCCTAAAGAAACTGGTCTGAATGAGCAGCACCAAAACCATTCAACTGCACTGCCAGTTTAATCTACTCCTGCTTCTGCCTCATCCCTGGAAGAGTTCAAGGCCAGGGGCTTGGAGCAGCCTGGGACAGTGGGAGGTGTCCCTGGCCATGGCAGGGGGTGGAATGGGATGGGTTTTAAGGTCCCTTCCAATCACTCTGTGATTCAATGATTCTCTCCAGGACACAGCAGTCCTGTCTCAAATTACCTCCTCCCAAACTGTAATTTTCAGGTAGCCCTTGCACTGATCTCCACCCAGACCAATGCCAGGCCTCCACCCGCAAAAATTCTTCTGTAAATTTGTCCTTTTGCCACCATCTCAAGGAAAACACTCCTTAAATTAAAAGAAGTGAAACGCTGTCTCTCTCTACGCCTCGGCTATCGGGAGGTCTAGAGGGCTTTCCAAGCAAATTATCTCATTTAGGAAAAAAAATAAGATTAAAAAGAAAAACAAACCAAGTTTGTTTAACTTCTGCTCCAGTGCCTCCCAGGACAAGGGCGATCACCTCTGTCCCGAGGAACAGCGAGTCCACCCCGAGCATCACTGCAGAGGCACGGGCAGGGACTGGCTCAGGGCCACGTGCCCGCTGCCACCCCGCACACAGGAGGCACCCCGAGCCTTGGCCAGACGGTCCCAGCGAGGCTCACTGCTGCATTTTGGGGTGCACCTCAGGCCAAAGATGGGCACAGCCAGCCAGAGCGTGCCACCAGCCCCAGGATCACCTGCTGGCCACGGGAACTGGCCTGGCAGACAGCAGGCAGGGCCCCGGGGCCAGTGCCAGGTTTGGCAGTCCCTGGGCACTGAGCAAAGGAGAGCGGCCACGGCCAGGGCAGCGGGTGGCACCGCAGGGAGTGCCCGGCAGAACGGGGCTCAAACCAGCAGCTCTGTCAAACATTATTTAACCGGCACTGGCATCACCAAGCTTCCTGCCTTGCAGGAGAATTTTCAGAGTCTGGTCACTGCTGGATTTTTAAAAATCTCAAGAACAGGAGCACAAGGAGCCACTTAATGCCTGTTTATTTCAGCTTGCTTCTAGCAGAGGCACACCTGAGAGCACAGGCTCCCTAAAGCACGGGGGCTGGTGCATCAGCAGCTGTACCCTCATCACACCCTGGATCAGAGGGTGGCCACAGTCTGAGAGTGCTGTCACCTCCTTGTCACAGCCCCAAACGAGCCTCTGTTCCTGCAGGACAAATCGAGGGGTTGCAGCACCTCATTTCTCCCTGGTTTGGAGCCTCAGCAAACCACCAAGCCTGGCAAGGCACCTTCCCTGGATTTAAAGTAATTCCAGATCTTCTCTTACCCCAACAGAAAGATTTTTTTGTTTTTGTTTTTTGGGGGTTTTTTTTGGGTTTTGTTGTTGTTGGTGGGGGGTTTTTTGTTTGTTTGGGTTTTTTGGTGTTTTTTTTTTTATTTTTTGGTTTGTTTTTTTTTTTAAGAATCATACAGTTCTGCCCCAAGAATGATTTGTTGATAGGAAGCCTGGAGCAGCTCCCCTACAAAGACAGACTGAAAAAGCTGGGGCTGTTCAGCCTGGAGAAGAGAAGGTTGCGTGGTTGGTTACCTCAAAGCAACATTCCATTATCTGAAGGGGCTCTGAGGAAACTGAAGAGGGACTCTGCATCAGGAACTGCAGTGAAGGGACAAGGAATAATGTGTGCACACTGACAAGAGTGGGAGCTTAGGTATCAGGAAGAATGTTTTACTGTGAGGGTGGTGAGACACTGGCACAGGCTGCCCAGGGAGCTTGTGGATGCATCGCCAGCACTGCTCAGTACCAGGGTGGATGGGGCTTGGAGCAACCTGGGACAGTGGAAGGTGCAGGGAGGTAGAATAAGGGGATCTTTAAGGGCCCTTCCAACCCCTTATGGTTCTGTGATTCTGTGGCAGCATGCATGTTCACCTTTCTCCTCCCAGCCCCTTCCAGATGTGCTTCTGTGCCATCACAAGTCCAGATGTGCAGCAACCACTGAGAGTCACCACAGAGCTCCATTTTTCAGAGCTTTAATTGCTCTCTAGCCCCGATACGAATCTTGGCCTGGGGCTGGGTTTTCAGGCTGACTCAGCCGGGTTACTGGGGACCAGGAGCTCTGGTGCCCCCGCTCTCCCTGACACAACAGCAGCAGCACTGCTGCCAGCATGCCTTGGAGCACATGCTGGAAGTCCTTCCACATCCTGGCTCTGCTCTAGCAGCACCCCAGCACCGTGGGGTTTGCTCTCCAAAAGCCATGGAAGCACCACCACCACCTTCCAAAACGTGCCACCTCTGAGCCCTCTGCCTTGGCACAGTTCCATTACAACGAGATCGTTCTTTTTTTCCCCAAAATTACCTTCCTGACTCCATTTAGAAGCAAACAGCCCTGGGTTTACACAAACACACTGACCTGAAGGGAGGCACAGCCTCTCTCAGAGCTCCATCGATTAAATCTCTCCTTTGACAACAGATCCTGCACTTTAACCAGGGGGGGAAAGCTGCCTTTGCTGCTCAGGGTTTGTTTATAAAATACTGCCAGTTCAGGAGTCATACACAAAAAGAGTAGGGAAGGAAGAGGCTCAGAAGTGCCTGGAAACAATTCAGTGTGACCACAGGGAGATTTACTGCATCTTTATATAGGGTGATGGAACGGCTTGGGCTGGAAGGGACCTCAAAGCCCACCTCACTCCCAACCCCTGGCATGGGCATGGACACCTTCCACTAGGCCAGGATGCTTTATTTAGAGCAGAGCCAGTGTGAAACAGCCTCCCAAGCTCACCTCCCCTCCAGGGACCTCCATTTCCCAGTCACCACTTTGCAAGGTGACAAAAAGAGTGGCAGCAGCCCCAGGACCCCCATAGCCCTGAGACAACATCCCCTCATCTCCTGTTTCTCCAGCAGAATACAGCTTCACTGGATCTGTGCCAGGAGAGCAGGTTTCACAAGCACTGCCCACAAGTGCTGCTTTTCCTACAGTTCCAGCAATACTCACACC